TCCCTGTAGACTATAACGTACAGGGGATGTATGCCTACTGAAATGTTGAATTGCTTAATATTTCTAAAAACGTTTGTCCTATCACTCACACACATTATAGTTTACTTTTACATTAAATAACACAGTTGCATGACATGCTTCAATGTGCAGACAAAGCCACTAAATCAGAGAAACCATACTTTTTCATTAGAATAAACTAAACAAAAACACAGACCAACTGTAGACTGCTCAACTGCATGGGTACATCCTCCAGATTTTGTATCATTATGCTTTCACCCACATAAATGATCAAAACAAATGACAATCTCTGTGCAAAGAAGAGACGGAGTCCACAAAAGGGAGGCTGACAGCCATTTCCACAACAGATGTTTTTACAGAGGGGTGTCTTCTCTCCACTGAGCAGTCTCACACATGAGAGACCCCCAAAAGCTTCAGAGAAACGTCCAGAAAACCAACATGTAAATTTGTAACTGCCATGTCTCAGACTAGCAGGCCCACGCCAATGTATTGCTTTAGGAGAAAAACAAGAAATAAACATATCAGTGATTTAAAAAGGCGGAGGAATAGAATTAGAACTTCAATACGAGAAAAGCCAACAGACAACATCGTTATGTGTTATCACGGAAAGATAAGTCCCTATTGATCCGGGTTGTGGGCAAAGGCTGCGCTATTGACAGGAAGACAGAATATGTCGGAGGGGCAATATTTCATACATTTGGCCTGTTCACTCCATCACTGTGAGAGGGTGTTTTTCTGGGCTGTATATAATAACATGTGTGCTCTTTATTTCCTTCAGATCAATGGTAATGCGAGGGGGGCCACACAAGATGGATGCCAGGGGCAGGTTAACCTATCGACTGCTGAACAGAGACACACAGAGCAAGACAACCAAAACATGTACTGCCATGAACCTCAGCTACTTGTGTTTCACTCTACTTATTGAACCAAAAACATGTTGCACTGCAAAACTGCAATTTGAATATTTTACATCTTATATACTTCAGTCACATGCTTGTATCACATGGCAATACTTCTGTGGGTGTATAATGTTGTCTAATGTTTTTATAATTGTTATGCTATGACGTTTGTATTTGTTGTGTGTCTTTTGTCAGCCCTTTGAGGCATTTATTGTGATTTGGGGCTCTATAATACATTTTGATTTGATATTGTTTACTTAATAATCCAAATATATTCCTGCATTAAATAGATAATTGTTTAATTTGATTTGAGAATAACTGTTGCATCTATAACCCTGTTATTTTGGGAGTTTAAGTGGAGGGAAAAAGTGGCAATGCTTTGCCTGGCGACCACTTCCTGGAGATAGTACAGGAGGCAGACAGGGGGGGGGGGGGGGGGCTAGGCCGGATCTGGATCGAGTCAGCCTCGCCCTCGGAATACCAGCCGGCTATTCAATCCCTTCAAGTCACTAACTTGCTGCTCTATATAAATAAATAAAAAAGTACAAGGGTGAAGTTTAATGAAAAACATATACCAACTTTGATTTCACAAGTGTTTTTAATACTGTACTCGCGTGGAAATCTACAGAATAACGCATTGAATCAAAGCTTCAAAACCAAGTAGGTTAGTGAAATTATTAGTAAGATTTGATTAAAGATGGGTAATGATTTTAAAGGAGGCCTTATATTGTAAAAGTTTCAATTAATTAAACTTTACTGTGCTTGAATTCACTTTGTAAATGCACCTTTTGTAATGCTTTGGAACAGATATGGCAAGTGTTTAAACATTTTAACAAATTCTCTCTCCAATTAACGTGCTGATTCCATCTCATGCCGCACGGTGATTCAACTGAAAACATCTGATGATTCTGTGCCTTTCTATTGTGCGTGCTATGCTATCACTGTCTAAGAAAATACAATAAAATCTAAATATGAAGTCACTGTGGCTGAACTGCAAATCGAACGTTAATAGAATAATGCTGTTCCGACAGACAGCTCCGAGCATTATTGTCTAAAGTTGGGTAAAGGGTAATTAATTTGGCATTAAATCATTCAGTGTTTTGGTGACTCTGATGAGAATTGTAATTTTCTTTTTTTTTGCTCAGACTTCCCCCCAGCCAACCCCCTGTCCCCATTGTCTGTGAAAATGGAAATCTGTGCCACCAGTACAATATCCACATTATGTGCCCTGCCTCGACATTGTTGCATGACATGCTTGATTGTACCCTGGCATATAGGAAGGGAAATGTGTAAACATACCATTAGCACATATTAACGTTTGTCCTCTGCTTACATTAAAGTGGAATTCATTAGTTTATACGTTTTTTTATGATTTTCTTTTGTGTTTGAATGAAGTACCTCTTAGACATTTGTAGGACAGTCTTGTTTCGAAGAAGAAATGCATTTATTTCCAAATCAGTTTCCTTTTATATATGTGCTCGGAACAAACTGAAACAGTTGAAAAGTACATTAAATCCTTCTCTTTTTTTTGCATATATATTTAACTTTCTATTTTCACTCAGATGCACCAAATAGGAAATAGTTCTGTCACAGCGTTTTAACTGAAACATTCTACTGGTCTGTTTCTCCCTCAATGGTAGTTTTTATTAAAAACATGGCTTCAGGCTATATGTGCACTTTGTTCCTCGTTATTATTGAAGGTATATGACATTTGTATACATGGATTTGACTTATTGTGTGTTTCTATGTTGTACAATGATTATTCGACTGAATATATGTGTCTCTCGGGTTGTTTGTTTCCTGTAAGACTGTTTAGGAAGGTGTGATGATGACAAACAGCCCGAAAGAATAGTCAAAGCTTTATGAGTGGCGACATCTATTAAGTGAGGCTCATTTCACTAGAGAAATATTTATATATAGGTAATTTACTTTGTTTGCAATGTCTTAATATACACTATTTAAACATGTATTGGATAAGGACATAATTGGTTAAGGATTTTTCTATACAGCCAGTAGATGATGGCATGTTTCCCTCTCACTAACTCACACAAAAGCATGGACTGCTTAGCCATTACATGCACAGAGATGTGATGGCAAATTTGACTAACTTACTTATTATGGGATTAACTGACTTATGTTCTGCTAATGGCAGCTGATCAAATGTAAGTACAAGTATGTTACTACTGCACTGGTGAACTCGCAACCTCTCTATATTAAATGTAAAGTGTGTTAGAGATTGAATAAGTCTGTTTAGAACATATCAATACTAGTATTTCATCCCGAGATGCTATAAAGGTTAAACTATGGCGTATCTGACATAAGTAGTAAATCTCTTTTGTTGTTTTGTTACTAATGGAAGGTGTCAAAAGCGACCTACAGCTCCTGATAAGTTCCTGCTGTCAATAATGACTCAATGCTGCCATCTAGTGTTGGGACACACTTTACTTTAAAATAAGAAGAAGAAAAAAACGTCAGCCTGAGTATGTCTGACATGACAGGCAGCAATATTTACCACTAAATGCTGCAATGGTAAAGATGAAATACTGTATATGATTATGGGATCCAGGGTGGCTTTGCATAATTCATTTTTGTTATGGGTTAAGTGTGACACTGTAGTCAAGAATTGGCTTGTATGTAAAGGTGTAATCAAATGTTGGCTGAAGCTTGAGTCTGTATATATTACTCCGAGTGTAAGCATGATGTTACAGTATGCCCCTGAGTATGTGTGTGTGATTGTTAGCGTGTGTTGGTTGCAGACTCTTCTCAGTATCAGCTCCTGACACAGAAAACCGAGATGCTCTCATTTGCTGTATTTTACACGCTCTCCTCCGATACCTCAGCTCCACCCGTCTAGCCATGATCTCAGAGTTGAAACAGAGTTCAGCCAAGTTTAGAATTGTTCGTGCTTGTTTTATCAGCGACGCGTACTATATATCCCCCATGAAATACTACAGCCAGCAAGAGATCTAGGGAGCAGGGAAACAATTGAATGGGCATTAATGATTTACAGGTACATATCTGCTATAATACCAACACAGGCGGAGGAAACTGAGAGCAGGATCTGATGACATCATTGATGTTGCCTCAGGTAACACCTTGATCATCAACTATGTATGCTTCTGGCAAAAATATATAAGATAAAGTCCAAGTGAGAGTCGACTATTTACCGGCCTAATGAAGACTAGACCAGTGCTCAGACACTGAGTCAGGATAGGTGGGTCACAGACAGTTTCACGTTTATTAAGAACAAAGACTTTATCAAACATGTGTGCTGTTTATTGATTTGTTAATTTGAAACAGATTGTAACATAGAGTCATTAGTATATGTTTCTGATGCAGCTTTTATTGAGAAGCAGTATAATTTATTTAAGACTCAGTCATTAGTGTAGAGATCGTTTAACCTATTGGATTTAACTTTGTTTGTTTTTGAGTCCTGCATTTTGACAAACCCAAAAAGTAAATTGGCTTATACTTTACTGAGATCCATTTTGTTGTTGCCCTAAAACTTAACTTGCAATAACTATAGTTTAAATAATTTTAGTTTTAGAGATTAAACAGAAATAAAGAGGTCATTTAGGGATTAAAAAAAGCTTCCAAGTCTGATAATCTTTGCAAAAAATCAACTAAGGGCAGCAACTGCCAATTATTTACATAGTTGGTTGATTCATGAAAAAGGTGCTTCTAAGAGCCCAAAGTGACATCCTTTATTCTTGAAACCCGAAGATATCGATTGTGTAATTAAACAAAACAGAGAATAACAAAGCAAAGCAAATTTGGGGCAATTTTACTTAAAAAATACTCAAATGATTAAATGAATGATCTATTTTGTGTAGTTGCTAATCATCAGTCCCTCAGTAGTGACTGGTCTGTGTCAGAAGCAATATATAAAGGTCAGAACAGAAGTCTAGTATAAATTATGCAGGGAACTTTGCAGGTCAGTGAATAATCAATCAAAAATACTTCTGTGTCTTTACAGAAAACAAAACATAATCTATTCTTAGCTAAAACCATAATTTCGAATCAATTTTAAAACAATAACTTCGCAGCTGCACAGACATTCAAACAGCTGCAGTTAACCAGGCTGTTTACAAAGGATGTGACGTGCTAGTGTTTTGAATCGTGCAGGCTAACCAGCAGCACGGATAGCAAGCAAACACCATCCCCTTCACACATTTGGGAGTAACTGTGAGCTTCATGTCCCTATAATATCTGCCACAGTAAGTTTAACTCCATTCACATTCGGTCCGGTATAGCGTTAATTAACGAGGTTGGTTTAGCATAGAACGCGTTAGCTTGCAGTTGCTAACAATAACTAGCCTTAGCAACCTACCGTTATTTCTCCTACAGGAAACAATGATATACTGTAGCCGCATTGACGAATGCACAATGATAATGTTAAGTCATTTATGACAGTGCATGGAACAATTGTCTGTTTGTGGTGGATGATAATAACACACGCCTGCAACGGTTTAACTTTAGCAAATTGTAGCTTAGCGGTGTCGTTGTTTATTAAACATTACGTTAGCTAGGTTAGCTGCTAATTATATGTAATGTCCAAGTAATGTGTGGCCAACAAATGATTAACACTAGGAGTGTTGTTAACCTAACGTTATGAGTGTGGGGCAACACACGTGGTTGATGTTATAAGCTACATGTATAATTATCTTTGTAACGTTTGGGTCACTGTCACTTTAATACTTACTTTGATTTTGGAGTGCGTTGAGGGGTTTCCTCGACTATTCAAATGTGTGTTGTAGTTGCATCCAGGCCTGTCGATTTGTGGTGAAATTAATCAAAGCCCCCAAATTAGAAGTTCAGTAACTTTCGGTGGGTCGTAAAAGTCAACACTCACCTATCGCGATAGCGAGGTGTGGCAGCAAAATCTCATCACCAAGCTTTCCTAATAAATGCTTTTGCAACATCTTCATGGGACGTTTGGTCTGAGCCAGAGCCCTAGAGAGATAATCTCTCTAGGGCTCTGGTCTGAGCTAAGCAACATTTGTACAAGAAGGACAACTGTTGTTTTTGGTTATTCAAAGTTTGCAGTCGCGTCTCCTCGGTTGTGGAAAGTAACTAAGTACATCTTCTAATTTATACTTCTTTATACTTTTACTCTACTACATTTTGGAAGCAAATGTTGGTACTTTTTACTCCACTACATTGCTTTTACAGATTTGTTTACTAGTTACTTTATAAGTTGACGATTTTGACACACAATTTTTGGAAAAACGTTTAAATATGATTGTTTTGTTATAAATTAAACTGTCCAACATTATACTTACTGTAAGTAACTAAATCCATGGGTGGCAAGTTTTTTGGCAAAAAATATAAAAAAGTTTCAGCTTTTTAAATGGGAAGATTTGCTGCTTTTTCTTTAACATACTTAAATATTGTTTAAGCTTTTTCTGCAATGATTATTTTTCTTTCAATACTTTAAAGTACATTTTACTCATCGTACTTCAATACTTTTACCTGAGTACCATTCTCGATGCTGTACTTTTACTTGAAATTGAGTATTTTTGCGTTGTTGTATTAGTACTTTTATTCAAGTAAAGAATCTGAATACTTTTTCCACCACTGGTGCTGCTCACTATAACTGCCTTGACTCTCTGTAGCTGAACTCCAGCACTACTGACCCTTTATTTCTCTATTGCACAGAAGGAGAACGCAATGGAACTCCACAAAATCATCCACAGTGTGATGTACGAATTTATTCAGGCTTACATTCCTGACGCAGATCTCAGGTAAACAATTGCCCAACTTTCGTAGAATCTTTACAAAAAAGTCAGTCTTACAATAACCTCTTTTTTGTTACCGCTCAATGCAGCACACTGGATGATGTTCTTCTGTTTTACATCACTGGAGTCCTGGAGGATCTGGGCTCCGAGCAGAGTGTTGAGGAGAACTTAGACGTGGAGGACTTTGCAGAAATGCTAGAAGCTTACATACCTGGCTTTGCTGAAATTGACAGGTAAACAGGCAGTTACACTGTGTTCTATTACATAACTCCAACGTTTGTTGTTCCTACAATTATGTTTTATATTTGCAGTGTCAAGGTCTGTGAAATGATGTTCAATCTAGCTTCAAAACTGGCAACTGCTCGGACCTCAGGTATTTTTCTTTACATTTTTATTATTTCTAATACATGCAGTACTGTGGCAACTTTTCCAAATGGTTTTTTTATAATGTTGGATGGGGATCATCAGCTAACATTTATACTACAGTATTCTGATGTGAATTTGTTTCCTATGAAGAAATTGTTGAGCTTAAGGCAAGGACAGAAGAGATTTCCTTGAAACCCCCCACCCTGCCCAGTGAACCTCCACCAGCGGAAACGCAGTGCCTTAAAACACAGACAGAGGGCGCCACTGCCAAGGTAATCATTTCAGCACAATATTTCCTTTACTTTAATTTTACGTTTTCTCATTGTGTGACCCACTGTTGATGTAGTTAGCAATAATGTAATTTGGAGCTAATACCTTTGTGTAAATGTCCAGCAACCAGTGTCTAAGTGGGAGTCCCAGGAGCAGCATCTGTTGGAAATGTTTCCAAAGTGCAGTCTGTCCGATGCTCGCAGCGCCCTGTGTATTGCCAAAGGAGACATCGAGGAAGCTGTGCGCCTTATCATAGAGGGTGACGTCCAACTCAGCCAAACTCCTCTTAACGTGAGTAAATGCTACACACTGAAACACTGCCACTGTGTGTGTTATGCAGTGTGATTTGATGGTGTTCTGTTGTCTCAGGTAAACCCCGGGAAGAGTATTTCCTCAGTGCCAGACCAAAAACTTAAAGAGAGCATCCTTGAGAAGTGAGTAGGATTGCTATCATCCTGTGGAGAGTAGAGCTGGCCTCACTTCTTTGTTGCTATTTGTATGACTATGTTTCTTCTCCATAGGTACATGTTGGTTGACAGGGATGAGGATAAAAAAACACACAGGCCTTTGCCCCCTAAAGAGGTAAGTTATCCTCCATTTAAAATGTAATTATACCATAGTTACATATGTTTCATGCATTACAACTAGGGCTGCAACAAACGACTAATTTGATAATCGATTAATCTATCGATTAATGAAACGATTAATCGACTATTCGGACTATTACTGTATGCCTTGCACAATTTCTCAAACGCTCTTATTTAGCCACACTTTTAGATGTAGCTTGAGGTTGTTTTAGGCATGTGGAAACTAACAATGAAGACAATAAAGATGAATACTTGATTCAAAAATACATATATTATTAAATTAACTAAACACATTTTGAACAAAATTAACATTGCTTTTTATTTAAATTAAATAAATAATATTTCACAGCAAAAGAAACAACAGTGTTTTAACAAATCGTATTAAATAATCTGATGACAGAACTGTAAACAGAATAGCTGAAACTTTTACTAAATAAATAACTCAGTTTCCTCTAATCATTAACCCATGTTTGTATAATGTAGTTAACTCCGTGTGTTGCTGCTAGCATACATAACACCTGACGTGGAAACGTTACTCGTGGATGGGGCTACAGAGCTACTAGAAAACGGTGCATTTCTCCGTCTGAATGTGGTGCACTTTTGCTAAATGTTTAGACAAATTGCTCGTGTTACCGCCCTTACATGCTAAACTCTTATTGCACTTTTGGCAACGAGCATTGTCCACATCGAGACGGGTAAAATGTAATCACACCTCGGAGCACGTTCTCTCAGCCAGTGTGTTGCTGCATGTAGCAGCTGCGTGTGTGTAAACTGCCCCGCCCCCTCGCACACAGACGGGGGAGAGAGAGAGATCTCTCTTCTGGATTGGAAAGATCGAAAATACATCATAGACGCATTTTTTTGTCTTTTTGCATATTAAAAACGAGTTGGCGACACTAAGACTGCGATATAATGCTTATGTAGCAATAATACATGACATGTATTTTTTAAATGTCTCCGGTACTGATAAAAACACCAATAACGTTGGAGTTTAACGGCGCGTAAAACACACGTGATGACGTCACCAACGAATCGACGACTGAATTAGTTGGCAACTAATTTGGTAATCGATTAAGTCGATTAGTTGTTGCACCCCTAATTAAAACCCTTATCCTGGTGTTTTTTTAACAGGCTCCGAAGAAGCTAGTTCGATACCACGGTAATCAGGTGGTAACCACAAAAGGAGAGCGCTATCAGCTGGTGAAGAAAGATGACGAAGAGGACATGAAGAAGACGTATGTCAACCTGAAGCCTGCACGAAAGTACAGATTCCATTGATGATGAGCACAACAGTGTAAGAGCAGCTACTGACAATGTTGTTTACACTTTTATATTATTTATTAAGTTCATTTGGCTCAAGTATAGGAACATATATTTGTAGGTGTGTCAGTGGCTTATTTTGAAATTGTGTTGCCATTTTATGCCTTGGTTAAAACATTAAATCAGTGTTTCAGTTGCTTGAGAAGCTTTTAAAATGTGTGATATTTTGGTGAGGATGTTGTAACTTGTGTTCTCGTGTAACAGCCTAACCTATCAGAATCTACGTGTTGCCATCTCAGCAGGTCTGATGTTACACTGACATTATTGTCCTTTTTTACCTCTTCATTTATTTATTTTCACTCCCAAACGATGATATAGATTCATTATCATGACGTTGTCGAGGTGGATCTATTATCATTCCTGTAAATAAGATCTTATGGTGCTGTAGAGCTTCTTCTAGACATTTCAAGTCATGATTGCATTTTCATGTAAATATATATCATTGATGCCAATTTCATTTAAAATTATATTTTTACATCATCCAGGAATACAGTGCTGGGAAAAGGCTCGGTCAATCCTTGTGAATGGGACAATTTGTTGTGCTACAAAATGGGTTTTAAATTAAAAGTATTTTCTGAAACTTTTTTTTAATGCCAATTTGTACAGGGGCTATCTTCAGCATTCCTCACCTAAGAATGTATTTATGGTTGCCCTGAGTTAGGGATTTAGTTGAAATGTTACTTAAATTGAACCCACAGTTTATTTGACTAGAATAAGACCATCATTTCAGTACCGAGTGCCGACCTAAAACAACGATTATCTGGATAACGTTGCGAACAAATCTGTGTTTTTTTATCAATTTGTTCCAGATTTTAGCAAAATTATTCAGATAGCTTTTTCCAGAGATCTATGGTGAACAAGGTTGTGTGCTTTGGAGGCGGATAAGTTCAACCTTGAATTGTCCTCATCACAAGTAGCTCTGCTGCTAACACTCGAAGTCCTGATTAAATGCTAATTAATTTTCTAGCACAACAAATTCAAGTCTCAAGAGGTGCAGAAACTGTTACAGCACTATCATTTTTGACATATTAAAATGGAGCACTGTGGTTGCCCGCTAAATGTTAAGCGAAACATGCTGCCGAAGGACTTGATTTTAAAGTTTGTTCCAATAGAATTATCTCTATTTTTAGTAAAGCTGTTTAGAATTGCTAATTCTCCAATCAAGTATTTATTGTGAAGAGGGCCGTTGTGTGCTTTAAGGGTCTGCTAACATGATGTTGGTCCTCTATCACAGCTCCTCTCATCTCATTTGTGTCGTGAATTTTGCTTCGCTTGTAATTGTTGGTTGTGGAGACTTTGATTACGATTGGTTTCTCATGTTATTCTTGTCAATTGTATTGGGATAAATGGGTTAGTCAGGAGTTTTTTTGTGGGTTTTTTCCAAATATATACCGTTGTTTTTTGTTGTGTTCCACTGTACAACTATAACTGGTAACTATAAGTATTGTTTTTGATTGCTGGTTTTTCTGAGGTAGTTGTAATGCAATGAGTGTTGAAAAGATGTGTTGTTACTGCAGCAAACGTGTCTTTAGTTACTTTATAAAACTCCCAAGTCAAGTTTTTTCAGAGTTTGAACACTGCGCTACGAGAAAACTAACGCACAATTTGTAGTAAATAAATACTAATTTTTGTATATCATTCACATTGTGTTTTTTTTAATTGTTCACGCGTTCAAATATTTTAATTCATAGCTTTGTGTATGTAAACCATCACATCATTCAGGACTCGGTTGTGTTGAAGTTTGAAAAGAAACTTTATTCATAGGAACAAGGAGAGCACATACTGTCTGTTCAAACAACAAAACTCTATCTCTATGAACCCTTGTCAATCTCACCTTTAAAGCTGTTTAATACCAGAGTGAAGACAAACCATAAAACAAAAAAATCAAGTCATAACATGTTACGTGCCATGCCATTGTTAAGCGATGCACACACATCAACCTAGCAATAGGGGAGAGAAACATCAGTCTTACATCATAAATAAAAAAATGTTAAGGAACAAGTATTTCTTTTTCATGACCTTGTGATTTGTAAGAAAAAGATATGCACAATGCTAGCACGTGTATCTTCTTAAAATGATGGATGTTGAGGTTTTTATAGTTCACTTCAGTGTCAGGAGGACAAAGAGTTCTGAATACGGAGAGGCTGTCTCCTAGTTTGTTTGTTGGTTTGGCACAATCAGCACAACACGTGAAATTATTGTCCCCTTTTTTTAATGCACATTCTTTAAACATTTCTGAAGTGCACTTTTAACCTGAAAATAAAACAGCCATCCCCGTTGCTTTTACTTTACTAAGTATTTTAAGTAATGTTGCATGTAAGCAAAAAATACGTGCATTTCCAAGGATTGTAAACCGACAGAAATCAAGAGCAAGTACAGGTTTCCAAGTGGAATCAAACTTTTGAACACATGATCACAAGGAGATTTCATTTCAGATCCCTCTGCATTTAATAGAGCACAGTGAATATTTGAAATGCAGCACTATAGTGCATGGACCAGGTAACTAGACAACTTCACCACTAGATGGCATTTCATGTTGCAATGCAATGGCTGATACATACAGTAAGCTACATCCCAGCAGAGGGCATTGCTACTTCAGTCTTTTGATAAGAGACATTAATCAAAATTGTAAGCTGTTCAGGTTAACCACTTATACCATTTTAAACTTAAATAAAATACAAAAAAAGCAAATGCAGGCAATGTTATCTTGCAAATATAAGTTAGCTGTATTTGCAACAAAAATTGCAGTGTCTGACTTTTCAGTGTTCCCTCACCTATTACTGGTACTCGTAAAAACACATTCATAAAGTCAAATAAATCAAACAAGCAAGAACATAAATTCACATAAAGCAGCATTGCTCGGCTTTAACATTTTAGCTGCAAGCAGTCACATATTCTTTCCCACGCATGTTTTTGATCATACTCATCCCAGTGTTTCAAGGCTTTCATTGTCATGCTACAGTGTAGTTATGACAATGAAAATCTTAGATCTTATCACTGTCCTCATGTGTTTTTATTACCGTGCCTATGCTGTCTTCACTGAAACGGAAAATTCATGCAGATCCCTTCCCAAAAAGCATGTAGTAAGGCGTGGAGATGCGTGGATAAATATGTTTTAAGAACTGAGATCTTTCTGAAGCAAATCTGTGATAAAGATGGAGAATACAATATGATCACTCCACCCTTTGTAAGTTTACCCACAACTGAGTTATTACATTTGTATAAGAAATGTACTGCATTTAAGTTTGCATTCACTATTATATTCCACGAATCATCCACTGGTATTTAAAGTAAAGAGGTTGTTTAAAAGGTACCAAACGCACAGAACTTATCAACTGGTTGAAAAACGTGAATTATGAGAATGTTGTGAAAACACTGTTTCACATGAATATGTCTAGACTCAAGCCAAATTAGGCCTGCTATTTAAGGACAAAAGACTTCTTCAAGAAGGGCACATTCTCCTTAAAGTAGTCAGATGGCACTGGGAGACCACTGAAGCAGAATGGTTTTAAAATGTCCGCTTGCCGTGCAATGATATGGAGCTCCAAAGTCAGACTTCCACACAGCAAACCAAAGCTGCTTTCCAAAGTAGAGTGTCTCTAACTGTGATCCTGGTCATATCGCCCGTTGATCATCGTTTTCAGTAAAGGTCCGACCTACAGGGAAACAAGTGGACTCTTGGTTAAGAAAGGCTACTTCACATTGTCACACGTATTGCATGGTCCCAGAATGCATAGATCTTTCTTTTGTACTAAATCAGGTACGCCATAAATATTCACAGTAATTAGGTTGCTGGAAGGGTCAGCATGCCCCGGGGATTTCATGTAATGGATGTTAATTTCATAACAGGTGACCTAAATGTGGATCTGATTTGATGTTCTAGAAAGTGACTTTGGACCATAGTGGGTGACTTATGCAGCTGATGATAGGAAGGAGTTTGTTAAGATGGTATAATAGGAGGTGCTTTTACCTCTTGTGTGTCTCCAAGTGCTTCTCCCAGCATTTTCTCAATATTTCTCATGATGGCCACCTTCTGATGAGCTCGCAGCGGGTACTCTATCCTCTTTGGTGTGGAGGCACCCTGAACAAAAGGAACACATAAGTGAGTGATCATAAAGCAACATGTAGTGGCAAAGATAACACAAAGTTAAAGTGACAAAGGCTCAAATATACGTACTTTGTACCAGAAGTTTACAGTGATCGTCACTCCACCGTTCAACAGGGATTCAATATGATGCCACCTGAGGAAAGAATATAAATATAGATAACTAAATTCATCACATTAGCTAAACTATGGAAACTGTATTATACATTTGACAGCATAAATATCTATCAACAAAAGCCTGAACAACAAATACAAATAAAAAATTGATGAATCATTTTCTAACAGCATGTTGAGGCGTTAAATATAAAAAAGAACATACTGGAAACCAGAGAGATTAAATAAACATCAGCTGGCAGTGCATCCAAGAAAGTCAATGCTTAGAGATCATCATCTGTTATAGAGGTGGAGCTCATTTTTCTACAGAAGGAATACATCATTTCTTTAGAAAGACCATGCAGACGTAGATCTTACCAATACATCGGGATGTAGAGCACATCTCCGGGGCCCACAATAGTCTCATAGCCAACAACATTTGTAAAATTTGGAAACCTCTCAAAATCGGGCTTATCAAAATCAACCTAAGAAGGAAACAAATACGGATAAGTAAACAAAACATGAACATGCAATTCAAAGCAAATGTCGGAAAAGTAAAAGGGAAAGTCTTACTTTTGAATAATGTGCTAGTTTATGAAGTATTTATACATTTTCTTGTCTATGGAAATACCACCAATTTATCTTTTTCACTTTCTTCAATAGTCATAATTTTCTATGAGAACTTTGCTGTGAAAAATCTTTACCACTATGCTATTACAAGTTCACATATTATTAAACCCTAGGTTTGTGCTGCGTACTTGGCTCTGCCGGTCACAGGGGTGGTGCACAGGGTACGGGTAGAGACACTCAAACTGGTCTGGAGGGAAGAGGATGCATCTCTTCTGGCCTTTGATCTGTGCGAAGAAGTTCTGCTGCTCATCGTAATGCGCTGGTGTCACATTGCCTGTGGGGAGAGAATATTCACAGAAAATGTTACGTTTTGAAAAACATTGAGGCCCACATTATACAGCAGAAAATAAGCAACTTGTATTATGTATAAAGTATCCTATGATTATATTTTTTTAGTAGTAAGTTGGTCTACTAATGGTTATTCTAACTTATTATGTATATGTATAGATCTATAGATACTCGATAGATAGACAGTATATGTTGAAATGTACATATTTACTTTTTAATAACATTTTTAAATCATGTATAATGACTTGTTCACAGCTGCTGTAACAGAACAATTCCACCATTTTGGAACAATAAAGTATATCTAATCTAATCTCACTGCTTCCTGTAGGAGTGCTTACCCTCCATGCCTATGAGCAACAGGTTTGATGTCAGCTGTCCCCAGTTTCTCTTGGCTTGCTGCTTGTTGATCCAGTTCCAGTTGAAACCGAGGAAGTCAACAACTATCTTCTTCCCGACTGTGTCATTCAGGGTCTGTTGCAGATAAACCCTTGAAATGCATGAGAAAAAAAACCTTTATGAGCCACCTTGTTTTGCTCTATGAGACATGAAACAAGTCGCAATGCAGCTCATTTGACTCTTAATGTGTCTGCAGGGTATACGCTTGTTTACAAGGCACTTCTGTTTCAGCAGAACATCTCTTTAACCCTCCTGTTGTCTTCGGGTCAAATCTGACCGATTTACTACTTTCATCAAGCATAACTTTTTTGTTTTACATTCGATTGCATTAAGGCTTTATGATATCCCTCACATTAGACATTTGAACATATAAATTGCTGATCACCACTTTCATTGAATTTTGGATGATTTAGTCCACTTTGTAACACCCATGGTGTTCCCGGTCAAAAATGATCGACATAGAGAAAAGGAATTAGTAACCATCCGGATCAGATAAAACACACACACACACACACATACTCTAGATGTGTTCCCCCCTTATGTGCCCAATCCCCCCATGTGAATCACACCTGGCACTCACAACACAAACACACACACACACACACAGAACAATTTGGACACATTTCCTGCTCTTATGTGCCCATCCCCCCACATGGATCGCACCTGGCACAAGCAATACATGTTCAGTGTCTGTTCTTTGTATATTTACTGCAGTTTTTCATGTATACCAGTAGTCTGATACAATATTTACAGTTTGAAAGGGTGTTAAATGACATTTGGTGATGATTAATGGACAGTAAAATTCAAGAGATAAGATCCACTGTAAGCACCAGAGAGCCAAACAGCTTTAGTAAGTGATCTGTACGTGTGCTGCAGGGCACAGTAACAGGCTAGTCCCCTGATTCTCACGTCTAAATGCTTAGTCATTTGCTCCATCTTCCTGTGCCAATTTATGTTTTCAAAAACACCCTTTATTGTTAAGCACACGTGCAACACAGTCACATTTAGTTCCTGGCCTGGCAAAGCTTCAAAGAGACAACTTTGTTGTGATTAAGCATCAGCCCAGGAGTTAATATAAACAAACCGTGTATCATACTCTTGTTCCTATTTAGATATATAAATGTGTCT